CCTGAGTTCAATCCCCATGACCAACAAAAATTAAAAATTGAAAGAAAGTCCTTTATGTGTAGACACACAACTTCCTAAATCTGAAGAAGTCTCTGTGGGTACATACAAGTCTAAGACCATCAAATTCTCTGCTATTCCATGGGTGCTAGATCAAGGCTCAGCCTTCATCTCACATGTATTTCAAGACTTCTTTTATTTTTAACTCATCTTAGAAAAATTCAGTTCGGTAGCAGAGCCTACTGTCTAGACACATGGCAGAAGGAAGAGTTCAGCTCTCGATTCATGTAGCATACAGGAAATAATCCCCTTTCTTATTTAGGGAATCTCAGAGACATGAAATGTATTAAGCAGAATTACTGACTAATGGGGCCAACACTTAATGAAGGTCTCTACCTTAGTCTCTCACACACAGTAGCTTACAGTAGCTTATCCTTTCCTTCCAACAAGGACAAATTCCTGCCCACAGAAACTCGACCACCAAGAGTGCTCAGGCCATGCATAGTAACTGTAGACCACCCATGCATTAATGAACACACTTGGCCTCACCATCTTGATTATCTTCCTGTCCACAGCCTAGCTTTTAGAGGTGGGCACAATTCCATACCCCCTGCCTTGCCATGCCACAACCCCCAGCCCAGTGCCCTTTCTGAAAGAACCACTCCATTCATTGTCATTGGGTGACCACAGTTGAATTGCAAAATAAAGAGACAGAGAAATGTGGTAAGGAGTTCAACTGAACATACAGTGGGGGAGACTTTTAATTTGTTTTCAGTCACCTGTTCAGTAAACACCTGCCAGTATACAGGGCTCATGACAGGGCAAGGGATGATCTTCACTCTGTAAGATCTTCTCCCAGGCCACACCAAGAAAGGCAGAGTTAAATATTTCAATTTGAGTACCACTGAGGAATTAGGGGAACACAGAACAGTGGGTTCTGAGTTATCTTGGAGTGCAAAATCAAGCAGAGGGAACTGGAACTCTAGCCTTGCCAATTGCACTTGTCTAAATTTTCCTCTCTAGACCTCAGCTACTTCATCTAAAAAATGAGTAATAATTAAGCTTATTTCAGAAAGTTGGGGACTTAAAAGTTACTATGTATATAAAATGTTAAATAATAATATGCCCATAAAAATAGAAACTTTCATCTTGTTAACATTATTATTAGCATTTAATCTAGCTTCAAAGCTGCTTTATTTGTGCTACTTCAATGAGGTGATATGAATTCATTATGCCTCCATTGACTCCTCTCTAAAATGGGGCTATTAATACCAACTGTAACATAGTATTAGAGTTAAATGATAATACTATGTGATTAGTGATGAGTAGGATACTATATGTGGATCATTATAAATCATATACAAAATCTTATATAAATAACTTATACATTCATGAATCCTTACATAGTCCAGATATAATACTCCCTAACACATAATGAGCCCTAAATAATTCTTAACTGTTTTCATATTTTGTTTCTTGAAAATATGCATATAGAGCCAGGTGCCAGAGGTATATATCAGTAATCCTATCCACTCAGGAAGCTACAATCTAGAAAATCATAGTTCAAAGCCAGCCTAATCAGAAAAGTTCACTAAGACACCATCTCCAGAAAAACAGCAAAAGGCAGGGTTGGAAGCATAGCTCAAATAGTAATGTGCCAGATAAGCAAGACAGATAAGTTAGCACAAAGTCCAAAACCCTAGTTCGTTCAAAACCCTAGTGTATATATATATACATATTCTATATGCATATGTGTGCATATGTGTGCATATGTATGCGTATGTGCACAAAAATGTCTGTATATATGTATATATGTGTGTATATATGTGCATATACATATATAGTCATAGAATAACCGCAAGAGGGGAGAAATGGTGGAAGGTTGCAAAATATTTGCATTTCTTTTCTGATTGTGAAAGCTATGTTAGGTGAAAGATTCCCTTGTATCTCCAACAAAGATCATATATATATATATATATGAGCAACCTGGATAAAATAAGGCATTCTTTAAAAGTTCCCTTAATTTAGAGTCAGCTACCAAGTCATTTATTCTTTGGGGCCTAAAAAAGATCCTCAAAGAAATGAAACTGGTAAGAACAAAGCAGAATAAATGAAGCTAGAGCAAAAGGGCCTCTGCTGGTTACTAAGAAAACTACAACCTCACGGCATGGTGATTTAGGGTCATCTAGGCCAAAGCAGAGGTGCTCAGGCTTTTACAAGTTATAGTTTCTTATATTGGTTATGCATACATCATTAGGCAACAAAGAGAGGGAGGAGGAAGTTAGGAAGGAGGGGGGAGGAGAGAAGTTAGGAAGGAGGAGGATGAAAAACCTGCCTTCCACACACAATAAGAAAAAAAATAAGATAGCCCAGAGGCATAAAGACTGGATTGTTGCAATGTAGCATCATGTGATGTGCAAATTCCAGTGATTTTTATGCACACAAAATGCATGCTGAAATTCTAATTGGCCTGCCTGCACATACATTATGTACCACTTTTAATTTTAGTTTAAGGCCTCCACTTCACCAAAGTGGACCCCAACCAGTGCATCCTTTCCTTGTTCTATAACAGTCTAAGAAGAACAAGGAGACTACCCCACAGGCATGAATGCCTTATACACAGGTTGCCTGTTATACCTGGAGCTCTTCACATCCTAAATCAGGCTTTGGACAACAGCTGGTGTCAATTAGAATGTCCTATAGGGCTTTCTCCACTGAGATGGTCTTCTTCTGCATATAAGGAAGACATTCAAACCCTTAGGCTGCTGACACCAAATGTCAGGAGGTGTCTTGGGAGGGTGTTTCTATGCATGGCTGGACTGAGGTCAATTCTAGAGTCTAGAACAGAAGCCCAACAAAATCTCATTCCTCCATCTCTACTCTAACAAAACTGCTGTATGAAACACACACATGAAAATATATACAAACATTGTCCAAAAGTCATGGAAAGGAACCCCAGAGTGAGGGAAAAATAGGAAGCATGGAAGGAAGGATAAAGGAAGAGAAGCTAGCTAGTACACAATAATAAGTTCTGAAAAAGAAGCTGCTCCAAGTCCAGGCCTGTCCCATGGCTCAGAATCTGCTGAACTCATCCAGAAATGTCCAGTTTCTCATGAGCCTGGCGGGGGGGGGGGGTGCTTTCTTTTGGAGACCAGATAGTAGCTAATCTTTCCTCATATTTTCCCTATAATGCGAGAGTCCCTGTCAAGTTCCATTTACTATTTATTTATCTCAAATCTCTGCAGAGATAACCAACTTCTACTTCTCCTTGGGTGGAAAAATCTATTCTTGTCTAAAATATTCTCCACTTGAGAAAGCCTCTACATTGTCCTTGGTGGGCTTCCTGTAGTCAAGGGTTAGGGACAAAGGAGGCATCCAGAGAACATTCAATTTCTTTGACCATATTACTTTAGAGGTTCGTTTCTGTTTTTCTGTGTAAGTAGTCTGAAATCGCTGCATACTTGCAGCTCCCATGAGATCCCTGTATAAAAGCAGATGCATAGTCATTCTGAAGAAGGGACAATTAGATGTTTTACCTTAGCCTAAATTAGTCTTTAAAGAGCTAAGTTGAAAAGGTGAACTTCCTGGACCAGTGACTAGTTCAGCAAGGCCCTGAGGGTTGACACTCAAATATAAAGGATCTTGGGATACTTGCAACATCATGTAGCTCAGTTAAGTCACACTTTGGGGATGCAGTGTCCTCATAGTCCAACTCTGTCTCTCCAATGCTCCCTTTCTAATTTTGTTTCCTATAGGACTCAAGTATACAGGTCACAAACTCATCCAATGTCAGCTGACAAGAACAGTAACCAGAGGACAAAAACCATAGATACCAACTACAATCTTGTCATCCGAAGAATCTTCATATTCAAAGAATGAGAATATTGTCATGTGCTCTGTGGCCTATTCCATTGCCCAGTTTTGAAAACTTTATGGAAAAGAACTAACATATTAAGTCAAAAGAAAAGCAGTAAAATGAAGCTTTAAAACTTCTTCCCCTCTCCTTTCCACCCAATGCTTACTCCCTTAAACATTTTCCCCCCCCTCCCCTTTCCGCCCAATGCTTACTCCCTTAAACATTTCCAGAGAGGAAGATTTACCATTACAGTCACTCCTGTGTTCTTCCACACAGGAAATGGAGTGAAGGGTTTCCATATAGAGAGGTAATCAGGAAGATAGAATCATCCTCCTTTACAAGTGCATAGCCAAGATTATTCTTCTCCTCCTCCTTCCCCAGAATCTGCAAGCCTTTGCTCCAGAAACCAATCCAGACCCACATAACACTGAAGCCTAGTTTCTGTTCCCTGGTGAGTTTTGCATATGTACTGCTTTGGTGAACAGCAGGAATGGAAAGAACACGGATTCACCAGACTAAATGACATTTTGCATGGTCAAATCAGACTCCCTGACTTTGGCTTCAGAAAGCCTCCTTTGAGAAGGAGAACGCATCTTTCTCTGTCCACCAGCTCATGGCACCATAGCAGCTAGGAAAGCCCTAGTACAGTACAGGCCCAGACACAGAGACTCTGCAGATCTCAGGAGTCCTGGCTGGCAAATCCCCATGGCCTGGGTTCACACCCAGCCAGACAGCTCCTTTGGGACTCATTAACTTCAGAGAACAACGTTCATGCTGAGTCTCAGCCAGGCCTCCAGTCACCACGGCCACCAGGCTCAGGCACAGACAGCACCAGGACCACTGGCACTTAGTCTCAGAACCACAACCACCATCACCACCACCGCTGGACCCAGCCACCCCTCACCCTGACCAAATCCCTCACTCAGAAAGGCCAGTTTGAGGAAAACTGCGCACCTCAGAGCGTCTCCCTATGCCTGCCATATTACATCCCAGGCCGAGCACCCAGCATTATCCACGAACCGCGCAACCCAGGGAACCAGCGACCTCTCTGCTAGCCCCAGCGTGCTCAGGCGCACACTCCCGCACCCCCTTTCCCCTCACCCCCAGCCCACACAATTCACCAATTCGTAAAATGGCAGTTCCCTACCTGAGGGTGGCGCTCTCCCCCTGCCGGACCGTCACGTTGTCCATCGCTTTGGGGAAGGTGGCATCTCCGCTGCGCACGGGCACTCCTGTGGGTACAAGGAACAGCAGCCTGAGAGACACGACCACGAGGCACTTCCAGGGCAGGAACAGGTACCCACAGACCCCCATCCTCGACGGCCACAACTTCCCAGAACTCGGGCCGCCTGGCGCACACGCCCCCCGGGCGAGCACAGGAAGTGGGTGGGGTGGGGAGCGAGCTCGGGGACTGCGCGGTGAACTAGCGGCGACCGCGAGGCGCGGGGAAGCGAGGAGCGCGCAGACTCCTCCAAGTCTAGTATTCCTCCCCCAAATCCAGCCTCGGAGAAGCAGTTTCCACGGAAGACATCCAAATGTGGGATGGGATGGTGGTGGTGGCGGGGGACTTGCTTCTGCTCGCTGCTGGGGCCAGAGAAAGGTGGCCGGGATGGGCAGCGCCGGGCGGGCGCACAGGTGCACGTTTCAGGGGCCGCTTCTTCCCATTCACAGTTCAGACATGGCACTTTGGAGAGGAGTAAGCAGCACTTTGGTGTCGGAAGGGGATGAGGGCGGGCTTCACCCGGCTATCCAGACGTGCGCTGCGATTCCTCAGCTCCAGCCAGGGGGTGGGTGGGGAAACGAAATCCAGCACTTTTCTGTCTTTTTTTTTTTCTGTTTTTCTTTCTTTCTTTTTTCTTTTTAAGTTTCGAGGAAGGCTCGCCACCAGAAACGATCAGTTAACAATAGCCCGATGGGGAAGTAGCGCTGGCAGGAGGCGGCCAGGGTTGGGCAAGGAGGAGAAGGCTCGGCCCGCTTCGCGCAATCCAGAGGCGGGATCGTGCCGCAGCGGCTCGGTCAACTTCGCCGGAGCCCCGAGCAACGCTGCAGCCTCCGCGATCCCAGCGGTGTCGGCAGGGCGGGCAGGGCGACCGGGGCAGCAGCGGCCGGGCAGGAGTGGGCCGCGGCGGCCCCTCCTTCGCTGGTTCCTTCGCTCGCTGGGGAAGGCGAAGCGCAGCCTGCACCGGAGCCGCGCGGACGCCCCGCTCAGCGGCCGCCCCGCTCAGCGGCCGCCCCCGGCCTCCGCGCCGCCTTCCTCCCGGGAGCAGCCCCGACGCGCGCGGGCCCCGACCGCCGGGGTTGTCATGGCAGCAGCTCCATCCCTGACCGCCACTTTCTCCCGGTGCAGATTCCGAGCGAGCGCGAGCGGGCGGGCGGGCGGTGAGGACGGCGCGCTCATCCCGGCGGGTGCGGGGCGCGGGGCGCTGGCGCCCACCTTAACCCCCGCCGCGCCGGGCAGAGGAGGTGTACCGGCCCTGACCGGGAGTGTTCACTATTGCCCCCAACCCTTGAAGAGCCGACACTTCCAAATTTAAAAGAGAAGGCAAAGTTAGCATGCCGTCTTAATAAGCCTGAGACGTCTTAATAGGGTCACAAAGTAATTAACTAGGAAAAGGAAGACCCTGCAGCATCCATACGTGCGCCTTTAAATGATCGCATTAATTCTATTAGCATGTAGAGTAAATTTAGAATGTCGGGATGATGTTTTAATATAATCTCATTTTTATTCCACAGTACGCCTCCCTTTTTCAGCCCTCCCATCCCCCCCCCACAAAGAAGATGCTTAAAATCCTACAGACCCAACACTAGCGTTCTAGATGTTCTCCATATACAAAATTTAAAAAAAAAATAAATCACAGAATGCTCTTAGTACGTGAACCTGGCAAAAACCAAGAAAATGTAGGACACGTTCAACAGTGACTTTCTTACATTTCATGATTTGTGGTCATTAAATGAATATTAGGAAGCTGGAACAGAGTTTGAAAAGGGAGTGGTTGGCAGAAGGGGGTGGATGATTGGCAAAGGGAACAAGAGATTCATTCGAACTACTCCAGGTACCTGAGTCAAAAAGGAGGTGTGAAATGTGGTAAGACTTTGGAGGGTGGGAAAGGTGTGGGGGTGAGGCTGGGAACAACGCTAATGAGAGGATAACACTAATCAAAATGCACCGGACATACAGGAACACATTAAATTGTAACCCTCGTGTACAGCCATTTGAAGATTAAAAATACAATAAGATAAATCCAGCCAACTATAAGTACATTGGGATAGATGCGGAAGTGTGTATAGCAGATTTGCAGGTGTTTTGGTTTTCACATGCTGGCAGCTAATTTCATCAATAAGAGGTGTGGCTTTTTATTCAGAAAAAGGCTGGAGGTGCCTCTGTGCCTGTTTCTTCTTCCCTCTGGCTGCTGCTTGGCCTTCTGTGCCTGCACTATGGTTTCTAGTTAGTTTCAGCTCTGTTGGAATGCAGTCTTCCTCTTCTAAGACTCAGGCCTGTGCACCCTTGTGACTCACAGACTAGCTGCCCCAGCAGAGGTAACTAATAGGCTTCCTCCTCAGGGATTCTCAAATTTACCTGGTAGCACTGATCTGAATTCTTCCTGGGGCCAATGGAGGCTACTATGGCTTTGGAGTTCCCTCCACCCTCCACCCTGTACCTTCTGTTAAATTCAATCATGATGCCATTACATTAATAAAAAGGTCAGTAAGATATTCTTCCCCAAAACCATCCAGCACCAGAGATGGAATCGTTATAAATAAACTACTGTAACTGCCTGCCTAGACTCTGGTGCTACAAGTAATAGAACTTGCCACCATTAAGTAATGTCAATAATTTGCATATCATTAACATGCTAAGGAGGATGCAAGCAAGCTCCACCCACCATATCACCCTCACACTGACTACTATGGCCAACAAGACAATACTCATCTCTGGAGAGATCACAAAAGGAGGCTGCGACATTTTGCCTTTTAATTTATGAATGACTATTTATTTTGCTGGTTCCAAGGTTTCAACTCAAGATCTTATGCTCACTCAGTTTGCAAGCTCACGGCTGGCACTCTACTACTTGAGCCAATCCTCCAGTCCAGCACTTTGCAGTTAATTGGAAATAGAGTCTCACAGTCTGCCCACATTGGCAGGATCCTCAAGGATTTTCCTGAATAGCTAGGATTATAGGTATGAGCCACAAGTGCCTGGCTGTATCTCTTCCTTAATAGTTGATCATGTAGTACTCAAGCATGCAAAGTTGAGCAACTTAACACTGAAGGTTCCAAAAGCTTTTGCCTTAAGTTGTCAGTACACCTATTTCCCCCATCTCTTCTGGTGATTTTCAGTGGTATTAAATTCTCAGGAAAAGCCATGTATTACCTTGGACCTCTGGGACTATCTACCTGGTACCTTTACAAATGCCTCAATCATTTTTACTTCTTTCCCAACACAACCTCTGTTCTTCAGCACATTCAAATGGTAACAAATCCTAGTCATGGGAAAAGAGAGAGGCTCATTCTGGGCTTTGGCATCCTTTCCCTACAGACCTGAGAATGGCCAGGGTGATTCCTTTGATGATCTATTCTGATTCTGTGCCTTGCATCTAATTCCCATGTAGGGACAAATGAGCATAGATTTTGCATCTAGGAATGTGGATAATGACACCAACGGGCCCTCCCAAGGGGCCCACATACATGATTAATTCCACAGGAAAATACTTAGAAATCCATTTATGATAGAAGATGCTTTATTACTACATATCTATCTGCCACTGCTTCTTTGTTATGGCTAGGTGGAAAGATAATTCTTATAAGCAGCTAACACAGGTCTGTATGCACTTGATCTGTATCTTCGTGCTGCCGTATCTTTCTCCCCGGCAGTGAGGAAGAGTGTGGACCTACAGCACCCCAATAGTTGCCAGCAGAAAACCCAACAGGCCTCAGGAAACTCTCAGGGTGAGCAAAGAACAGCTACTTATGACCTCCGATCTCATTGGTAGGCCCAGGAACCCAAACTTTATTCATAAATGGCAGTTAAGAAAGTGGTGAAAGGTCAGAGCTGCCTGTGCAATTAAACAAGACAGAATGGTTTTTATTCCAGCCTGCTATTGAAGTGGTTTGAAAAAGATGGAGATCAAATCAGCTGTCAATAGCTTTCCTATCCCTAATCCCTAAATATAACCAATACTTAGTGGCTTATCTTATAGCCTGTCTCTTGTTCATAACAAAAACTGCTGGATTTATTTTATTTTTTTCTTCCCCCAGCATATCTGAGTTAATGAAAAGGGGATGACAGCCAGAGCAATTTCATTATTTGTGTTCTTTATAGAAACAACTTCCTCTATGCCTCCTGGAAAGCAGATTCCTAACGAGCACCACCTCCACCTTCTTTTCCCATCTCCCTCTCCTTCCTCCCTTCCTTCCGTGCATACACATATACTGTACACATAAATCAACTTGTCACAGCTTGTCTCTGGGCTGACAGCTGTAATTGCTTCAGGTTATAAAAATATCCACAGGACAATGCCTTTCAAGCTCACAGACACGCACATGCACACACACACACACACACACACACACACACACACACACACACACAGATGCACGCACATACACACTGCAAAACAAAACCATCAGAGGCCCTTTCATAATCTTAAAGCTGTGAGGGAGGCTGGGGGAGTTTGCCAAGCAGACTCTGGTGTGCTGGCAGGAAGGAATCTGAAGAGACTTCTGGCAGTTTGGGCACCTATACACTGACACAGGTTTGGAATGGCAGAACTCTCTGGGAAAGGAAACATCATCTGTTCTGTTGCTGTTGTTTTGTTTTGTTTTGTTTACTCTGTTCCCTACCGCAAGCTGGAGAAAGCTACGAGGTCTGACTATTCCACTGCACTAGACACCAAAAGAACACCGGCTTAAGAAATGCCAGTTCTTCTCTACAAAGGCGAAAGGCCCCCCTCTCCTGGTGGAGATTTCAAATAGAAGCTCTGGCAAGATGAGAAATGCAAGGCAGTTAGAGAGTGGCTTGACATCAAATAGATATTGAGAGATTTAATCAGAAAGAGCAGTGTAAATCTGGATAAAGAGATGCCTCTGGGGGTGTAGGAAAGGGCTAGGCTTTGGGGGGGAAAATCTCATGCTATATTTTTTTGCTTCTCGATGAATATAGGATCAAAATAAAATGGCTGCTCATCTGAGCTTCAGTCCAGCATGTTTGGATTTCTGCGGGAAGGCAAAAGGG